TATATATATACGGACCTTGAGGACCTTTGTGACTTGTGACTCGATCAAGCGGGACTTGATGACAACCCCGATGACGGATAGTCCGTATTTTTGGTGATAACCACTGACACAAAAACAACACCACAGCGTGGAGACTTTTTAACTATTTATTATCTCGGAGTATGTGACAAAATAATCACTATAGATAAAAACAGCATTTGAGCATTTTTACAACTAAGAACATGTTTACAGACCAGCAAAACTAATTGTACAAAAATAATGATAATATCGAAAAACATAATCCCTCCCACCCCACCTCCCAAAAGTAAAAACGATAAAGAATACAACATCCTCGCATCAGTGTGCAAACCGTTTATACAGACGGACAGGTGCCCTTTTGTACGGCAACAAATCCCGATAAATTATTTAAATAGCATTTATCTAAACACGCACACACTCAATGACCTGTCACAAACTGCTAAGAACAAAACCGAACAATAATTTATCTGCTCAAAACAGCATCGGACATATACGATGAAGCAAAATTATTCTTTAATAAGGAACAACAACAAAAAATAAAAAAGAGAAGAAGAAATCTCCCATTTTACTGTCTTTCTTGTTGGGGTACTTTTGGGTGCCGGATGTCGTCAAACGGAAATGTCATTTCATTTACGACCTGTGCGACACGAACACGACAGTCATTTTGGTGGAAAACGAAATGCATGTGTTTGTATCGATGGACTGCAATGAGGTAATATTTGTACATCACTTCATTCATTTTGCTTTTGGTTCGTAAAGGACAAGTCACAAACACTTCATGCTAAGTAGCCCCGTGCTGAACCAAAACAAAAACTGTTTGCGAGTTGCGAGTCGAGGGAGCAAGACATCCAGTTTCTGAAACCCGATTCCTCCCAATTTTGTTACATTTTTCGCTGTTTTAGCCAAGAGATTTGGAACTTTTTCAAAGTTTTTTTTTTTTATGCCTACACTGTAGGCAAGAGTCAATAAATTACATGTATTTACATAATACCTAATTCAAACCTCAAAAGATGAGGGCAATAAATCTCTTGTCATTGACCAAGGCTTGGCTGTGACATGATGGAGGGAATGCAGACTGTCATTTATTTTTTTTTACAAGACGCTCATTTTACCTGAGAGTTGTTAACCAATTCACAACTAAGATTACTTCAAGACTAGCGCAATTCCATTTGGACTTTGGGATAGCGTTTCCCCTTTTCATGGGTTTTCTCTTCACGGAGTCTTAGGTCGATGAATACGAGTGCTTTCATTTTCCATCCACGGTCAGTCTTCCACACACGAGCACGAACACACACATCCGCAAGAATACGTTTGTCGTATTTCTAACACTGCAGTTATCTTCCCCGTCGTACGTCCTCCGCATCAAAGATTTCTTCCATTTAACCGCTGCCGTCGTCTTTCGAGTCCTCCAGAATTGCGTCGTTCGGAATGTGCAACCCGGTAAAGCAAACGGAATATTGACTCAGTCTTTTCTTTGGGATGCCCGTAAGGTGAGGAAGAGGAGCGAGAAAGGCGCGCGGGCCGAAGAGGAAAAGCCGAGAGAGAGGATGTAAAAAAAAAAAAAAAATTTGCAAGTGCATAGTTGTCTACGGGGTGCCCTGCCCGCACAGAGATGAATGAGGTCTTTCACTGAGTAAGAAAGCAAGGAGAGCTGGGACAGAAAGGTGCCGGTGTCCTCGACGCAAAGGTGGGAGGGAGGGAGGGAATATTTTCCTTTTTCTCTCCAGCTT